AGTCTACGTATTCAGCATCGTAGCAACAAAAATCCATGCCTTTTATGCATGGGGAATTTTATCCCGAAGCCTAAGTAGGGATAAGTCAACGCCTAACACGCGTTGCCGGTTTAGTCTTTCACCTATTGAAAAAGACACCAGAGTATAATTCTGGGGACTTTCATCCCGAATTCTAAGTAGGGATGAGTCAACGCCTAATACGCGTTGCCGGATGCCATATTCCCGTAAGAAATGGCGAAGTCTATGTATTCAAAATCATAGCGTTAAGTCTAGGAGAATTAACTCTCTTAGCGCAACGTTACATGTGAAACGGGTTTTAATAATTCACATGCTAGCCCGATTCAAACGGTAGTCGGTAAAGGCACATCAAACCCGTTGATGGCTGGGGGTTTGCCAAAAATCCCAAAGTCTATGTCTAACACGCATTGCCGGTTTAGTCTTTCACCGATTGAAAAAGACACCAGAATCCAGTCTGGGGAATTTTATCCCGAAGCCTAAGAAGGGATAAGTCATCGCCTAATACGCGGTGCGGGGTACCTTTTCCCTATAAGAAATGGTGAAGTCTATGTATTCGACATCATAGCACAAAGTCTCAGAGAATTTATTCTCTTAGCACAACGTTACATGTGGAACGGATCTAGACAATTCACATGCTAGCCCGATTCAAACGGTAGTCGGTAAAGGCACATCAAACCCGTTGAGGGCTGTATAAATTTTATCATTGCTGGGATCAAAGTAAATAAAGAAATATCATGAAAGAAGCAAATGCGGAGTCTCTAGTAATAGATCAAGTCAAAAGCATATAATAAAAAGCTCGTTAGCCCGAAGGCAACTGACGGCTAAGAACATGGAACTCTAAACTAGAAAGCCTGTCTACGTAGCTCTGCTCAAGTTCTGCCTGCAGACTAGCTCGGACAGAGTCTTCGGAACTGCTTAAGATCTCCGCGGCTTCATTCTTCAGCTTCATCAATCTCTCCTGTGTAGATCCCAGCTTCTCGAGCGTCTGTTCACGAGAACGCTCTAATCCAGCCAGGTCTTCTGCAATAAGAGTAACGGACTCCTCGGCGTGCCTCAAGGCCTCCTTCAATCTAGCCACTTCCTCACGGCCGGAATCCAAAGAGCTGAGTAACTCGGCTCTACCTGTATCCTTCCTCGCCACGGTAGCCATCAGCTGCGCAACAGAATGCTCATGTGATCGAAGCTCGCTGCCGATGGAAGATCTCAGATCGTGCCACTGTGTCAGCTTATGCTCCATCTGAGAGGACACAAAGGAAAAAGCTCCACCAGCCTTCAACTCCTTCAACTCTCGGATCTCTGACTCCAGAACAGTGAAATCGGCAGTGAAGGAATCGGCCAACTCTGGATACCCTTCTTCTCTGAACATCAGCATGTGACGAGAAAAAGAACGCCTGAACTGATCAAAACCGTATCCTCGATGAAGAAGTTTCTCGATCATGCCGTTATAAAAGACTGTAAAAAGGCCGAGGTCCGTACGGAAAATGTCTTTGTCGGGATCGGTATCAGCCAAGAGGGCGCGGACACGCTCATATAGAGATGATCGAGATCCTACAAGAAACAGTGTGGAAAGCTAAGAGATTATCGAATACGATAAGAAAATTTAAAGGCAAATTCCGAGCATACCAAGGCCAACGGAGGTCCCCTCAGGCTGAAATCCGACAGGTTCCGAAATAACTGCAGGAGTAGTCATGGAGGGTATATCAACCCCTGTAGGCAAATCAGTCATACCTCTCGGCTGTGGCGGGGAAACACCGCTCTCAGGCAAACTATCAGTCCCAGAAACTGTAGTGGCATCAGGCACAACGGCTGGTCCTATAGTTACACTTCTTTATTAGTCAAAATGAAAATTTAGACAAATAAGGAAAATCGGGATGATAAGATCGTCTGCATACCTGCAAGTCCGTCACTCTGAGGTGAGCTAGATATGCCGGGAATCGATATTGGGTTAGTCCCAATGTCTGGCACTATAATATTAATCCTTCGTTAGTCAGATAAAAGACCAAGCAAAATAAAGGAAATCAGCTATATACCTGTGAATGAATCACTCTCAAAGGGTGGTCCCACAGTTCCTCTGGTGGCTTGTTCAGCCAACATGTCAGCAAATAATCCAGCGCCGGGCCCCGAGAAACCTGGTGCAGAGGCACACCCCTGTTCCTCGAAACCTACATCATGAAAGGCTCCGTCCTCAGCTGGCTTTTCTATCGCGACATCTGCAGGACAACCTAAATGTTGGAGATATGTATAAGAAGATAAGGAAGAAGGGAAAGCTCAGAAATACCTGCAGCAAGAACAGAAGATTCTCTTTCCCCATGTTTGAGGAGGGTATCATCGGATGTAGATATACCTGAATATGGAACGGTGGGCTCAACACTATTCACCTGTCCAAGATCAATGTTTAGATCGATACCCAGAGAACCGTCACGAAGGGCGTCGCACATCTGCTCCATGAAGCTATCCATATTATCAGAACCAGTGAATACGGGAGACAATGGGAGTTCGCCCTCTTCAAAGAACCCTGGAACATAAAACATGATTATGAATCCCAGAGGGTAAGTCATCTTAAAGCAATGAAAACGACGAAGTATTACCTTCCTCCCTGTCGGCAAAGTCTCCTAAATCCACTTCATAGGAGCGCTGACTAACGTGTGGTTTATGAGCGATCTTTTTCTTTTTCGGAATATCACCCCCTCATAGAACCAACGGGTCGTTCGTGCGTGGACTGGCCACGTGTATCAACCTGGGTAGGAGCTTGGCCACCAGGCCTGAATCTCGCACGACGGGAAGCGAGCGACTCATGGTCGTCGGCTGTCCTACCTGAGATGATAAAGATTATTTCATTAAATGAACCAGATCTTTCGTTGATATCGGTTGAAGTTGAGAAAGGGGATCAAAGAGTATGACAAACCTGCGTCAAGTTCTTCTTGGTCGATATCTATATCCACATACCCCTCCTCAGAAGTCTCGACATCATCGTCAGTAGGAAGGAGCTCTTCACCGTCTTTGCTTGAGAGAGGAGGATTGGCAGACTTTTTCTTCTGTTTCTGAGCAAGCTCGGCTTTACGAGCAGCCATCATAGCAACCTGGACCGAGTGCTCAGACTCTAACTCTGAAAGACTCCTCACACCTATGGATTCATTGGCGGAGAGGAACCACTTACAACTGAGGAAAGTAATCATCGGCTTACGCCTATATGAAGGGAGAGCAAAGTGGGCTCAGGTGCAGCCCACCATAGTCCATAGCCATGCCCGTACGCCATCAATAAGCCCTCCCTCAACCTTCAAACCACGGCTCGGATTCCCAACATATAGTTGGTTATAACCGAACTGACGAGCAAAACGGCAGGGAAGGTAGGGCTCTATGTGGCAATGATTCTTCACCCGGAGAACGAGATACCCAACACGGATGTTCACTAACCAGCGGAAACAACCAACGTCGAGAGCAGTCCGATTAGTTCTGGGTTTCTTCTCATCGGTCAGCACATCACCATAGCGACCCGAAAAGTAGGGAAAACACTTGAAGAACTCCCAGCTCTTACGAACTTAAAGCTCTTGTTGTGCATCGCCGAATTTCTTCCCGAGCCATCTACTCCTCTCCAACAGCTGCACGAAAGGAACGGGGACATCAACAACGCTGGGCGCCGACATCAAGTCAGGACGGTGAAGAACGAGCCACGCCATAAGATACGCATAAGGAAGCTCGACCTTCAGACAAGTAAGCTCGGTCGATGGTTTAGAACCCACCCGTGTAAAACCACTGACCACATACCTAAGCCCGCAATGGATGCCGGCAACCATCGCTGGGAGCAGTGAAAGCTCCCTCCCATAAGCTAGCTGAACTACGGGGAAGAGCACCTCGAGAGGTAAGGCGTCTAAAGACCGGTACGGAACAACACACTTCTTCAACCAGAGGGCAAGGTAGCCTGCTAGCAGAGTCCGGGGCTCGATGGACTTCTGTGCACGGCGGAGGAACGAACGAAACTTGGTTCCTGCAGGAAAAGCTCCCTCAGCACGGGCAATGGTGTAAGAATGAGCCTCAGCCTTCTCCATCAACTCATTAATGGCGGTAGGGGTCAGAACATATAACTCACGAAGGGGCTCGCCGGAGTCGCCCTCCAAATTAGGGAACAGATAGACAGCAAACTGCTTCAAGCTGATTTGCCTTTTCTTCTTCGCTAGAGGAGAAATCTTGATCAAGGAGGTATAATAATGACAAGTGATGTCCCAAAGAGTATCGTGCATGTCGGGAGTATCCTTCTTCAACCATCCCAACTGCTGGTTCGAGGGAAAGTACTCCTGATATGGACAATCCCCCATTGGAAGACCAGAAACCTGATACATCTCATGTAAGGCCAACCCTAACTCTCCGCCGCTGGTCATGAACGTGTTACTGTCGGGCATGTATGTCTCCAACAACGCCAAGAAATGGCGGCAGCTGACCGGAAGTCCGTACATGGTGGCCCGTATAGGTGCATACAATCCTCTGCTCTTCAAATCCTTCTCCCAGCGCCCCAAGACGTAACTGGTCATGCGTGTCCACCATCCCTTGGCTTGTGAGAAAGCCCAACCATAGCATCTGTAATCTGGTGGAGGTAACCTTCTCCCAAGATGAGCCAGACGATTCTTCACAGTAGGAGCAGCTGCTGATACCTCGCCCGGGGGTGCAGTGTCAAGACCCATAATCTCTGGTCAAAGACCATGATATCCAGTAGAACCAGGAATCTTATGATGAGAGGTATATCCACACTGAACTCGCTCAGCATCATAGGTAAGATGCCAAGACATCTGTCGCTCCACGGCCTGTCCCTCCAAATGGGTGAAAGAATATTGACGAGGAACGGAGGGAATATACAGGAGAGCTCCCTCATGAAGATTCAGCCAATGCTCCTCAGTAAGAGTCAACGTAGCAGGATCCTCCGCGTGATCCCCGAACAGGAAACTGGGCTTCTTTAAAGCCTGAGTGGAAGTAGAATCTGCAGTGAAGGAGGCGTCCGTAATCAGCTGGCGTAAGCAATGACGCCCTCCATCCCGTATCAAACGACAGGATTCGTCGGAGCGATCTCTGTCAAACTGAGGGAGTGGACTAACGGCCTGCCTGATGGAAGCTGAAGAGAAGACCTCCCGGCTACAACCAGTATTAGCATGAGGAGGAAGGCTGCCCGCGGGGAACTCGACTGCAAGGATAGAGTCAGAAAGTTCATAACAAGCGAGATAAGATCAGTCACGGGATAATTGGAGAGACGATTTTGAGTGTCCTACACTGGAAAAACGGTATGCATCATCACGTAAATAACGTGGTAACATACACCGACCTATAAGGTGTAGGACGACACAAAATCGCCCCAATATACCAGAAGACTTGAATTAGCCAAGCAAGGCAAGTCCGAAACCTCGACCCCCGCGAAGGAGGGTGTCGGCCCTTCCCGAATGACCCGCGAAGGGGCCAAACGAGGGTATGACAAAACCACCAAGTCCGAAACCTCGACCCCCGCGAAGGAGGGTGTCGGCCCTTCCCGAATGACCCGCGAAGGGGCCAAACGAGGGTATAACAGAGCCACCAAGTCCGAAACCTCGACCCCCGCGAAGGAGGGTGTCGGTTCTTCCTTCATGACCCGCGAGGGGATCAATCGGGGATACAAAAATAAAAAAAATTCCCACCCCCGAAAAAGGAAGCCGCTGGAGGGGAGGATGCTGCAGGAACTTCTTCCTCGCTAGGCTGTGAATGGGATCGACTCCTAGGAAGTCGAGATTGGCGTGGAGGCATCGGAAACCTGCAATGAAAAGCAGCAAGTCAGATACAATCTAAAGTATGAATACGCGAAATTTAAAAGGGAAATTAAGAACTTTAATTAAAATCCTATGTATAAATAGGATTTTATAGTTAAAGTCTAATTAAACCTACAAATTTCGTGCATGCGAAACAATGATTGACATTTTCGCGGTAAATTTTGATGAAATACCCAAAATACCTTTCGTGTTCAAGGCTAAATTCGGGTCAAGGACACGCTCGAGTTGGGTCATGGTCATCATACCTGATCACATAGCACCCCCAGTACCCCACAATTTTGGTTAATCTCGCAAATAAACCCTTTTGTAAAATTTAGCCAATTTTGTAAAAAAAAAAGCCCTCCAAAATTTCAGCCGAAAATTTGCACATAACCCCCTCAAATTGTAGCCCTCTTTTACATATAACCCCCCTCAAGTTTCGGCCTCAAAATTTGCACATAACCCCCTCAGAGTTTAGTCCATCCTTTTTTGAACATATACCCCTCAAGTTTCGGCCTCTTTTTTTGCACATATACCCCTCAAGTTTCGGCCTCTTTTTTTGCACATATACCCTTCAAATTTCAGCCCTCATTTTTGCACATAAGCCCTTCAAATTTCAGTTTCATATTTGCACATAACCCCCGAAAATTTCAGCCTCAAATTTACACAAAAACCCCCCAAATTCGGTCAATTTCTCAAATTCCATACCCAAATTCGGTTTTTCTTCCAAGATTAAAGAGCTAGAGTTGAAATTATCAAGCCATGAACACAATCAATCAAGAAAATTCGGCCAACAAATAAACCCAATACAAATTTCGGATTTCCCCCAAATTTGAAGAACTAGGGTTTTCAATCATTGAACCAAAGCATGAGGAACTAACTAAAATCAAAGCAAGGGAATTGAAGCCATAAAAGAAGAGAGGACTTACCAAAGCTTGGGGAAGTGTTGAAGAGGAAGCCTTGTTGATGATGAAGCCCAAAATCCTCCAAACCCAACTTGCTTTGCTTGAAGCCTTGAAGAAGATGAAAGCTTTGAAGAAGGAAGGTTTAAGGGTTTAAGAGGAGAAGGAATTTTAGAACTCTTGAAGAAGGATGAAAGCTTTGAAGAAGGAAGGTTTAAGGGTTTAAGAGGAGAAGGAATTTTAGAACTCTTGAAGAAGGAGTTTGAAAGAGTAGTGGGCGGATTTTTTTTGTTGGAACCAAAAAAAAAACGAAAGAGGGGGGAGGCGGAACTTCTTGCTGGAACCGGACAGAGAAAAGGAAAAAGAAGAAGAAAGGAAAAATTAGGTTTTGGCCTTTTTTTAAATAGGCCTGAACCGGACCCGGACCCGAACCGAACCCATATGAACCGGACCGGACCGGATTAAATCATTTTTTGATGGTTCACACACGTATGAGGTGCAAAGTGTTGGCCCGAACGTGTAGAAAGACTTGGGGATAATTTATATACACTTTGATCCTTTTCTAGGATATTTTTACGACGTATTCAACACTCGTATTTATACTCCAATGAGAATACGAGTCTAAACTATTTCTCACAATTAACGGGAAGTTCCTGGAAAATATTATGTATAATATTCTTAAGGATAACCCGTCAACCTCCGACGGGTACACGAGGCTAAACTAATTCCCGAAACTCCCAGGAGTACACGAGTATAAACTGGTTCTCCTCAGGTTGATTCGAAACCCTAGGTCAACACCGGTCAACGCGTAACCCTAGGTCAACGCCAGTCAACGTGTTGCAACCAAAAAGTCAACATTCGACGTTCGAAACCTAGGGTCAATGCCGGTCAACGCGTAACCCTAGGCCAACGCCAGTCAACGCGGTGCGACCAAAAAGTCAACATTCGACGTTCGAAACCCTAGGGTCAACGCCGGTCAACGCGTAACCCTAGGTCAACGCCAATCAACGCGTTGCGGCAAAAAGTCAACATACAGTGATCTGAAATCCTAGGTCAACACAATGTGACGGAGGTAGTTCAAAGTCAACTCAATGACACGAGCCAAACTCAATTCATCAGCTGTAAGACTCGAGATTCCGACGATGGCCAGGCGATAAACGCAGCGCCGGAAGAACTTCGGTTATTCGTCAAAGCATCGAATAGACCGAAAATCGAAGGAGCCAAGAGTTGAAGCTAACTACAGGTCCTTTACGCCGACTGAAGGATGGACCAATCACATCCAAAGTATTCCAGCCTCTTCTATAAAAGAAACGAGCCCGGAACGCTTTGGAGGGGGTATCTGTAGGCATCGAAAATTGCCTATAGGTCTCCACGAACAGTTCAGTGTTAAGGAACGACAATGAACGTCACTATCTGGTTCACAGGAGCTCGATTGACGTCGGTGAACGCTTGAAGTGAATCGATGAACTACGTGAGCTGATAGGATTTCGGAACAACGAAGACCCGGGCCAATCGGGAACCCGGCGATGTT